GTTATTTATAAAAGTTTTTCTTCTTCTTCTTCTTTTTTTTCCATTCAAAAAAAAAAAAGTTTTTATTAAAAAAAAATTTATTATTGTATTTTAAAAATAGTTTTTAATTTTAAATAGCCTTAAAGTTGTGAGAGAGAGGGGGAGAGGAGGATGTGGGGAAAAAGGAAGGAAAAGAAATAAGAAGGAAAAATTCGAAAAGAAGAATTAAAAATAAATACAATAACTGAAACAAGATGTATTAAAACAAACAAACAAACAATCGAAAATTCTTAGAAAAGGAAAAAAATTAAAAAAGCCGAATGAAGAAAGAGACGAAGGGGGGTGTGGTTGAGGGAGTAGGGAGTGAGGGGAGGGAAAGGAAAAAAAAAGGAAAAATCAAACGACCAGAGAAAGATATTTTTCGAAAAAAAGGTAAGATTACTTAGTTCTTTTTACTAAAAAATGAGAGAGAGAGAGAGAGAGAGAGAGAAAACCTTTGAAAATTCAAACGGAAAAGTTTTACGAAAGGAACAAAAAAAAAAAAATGTGAACGAGTCGCGTATATAAATTCCAGAATGTTCCAAAATTTAAATGATTCCAGTCTAAAGTTTTTTTTTTTTTTACGGTCGTATGCTAAACACTGTTAATAATAATACGAAAAGTTTTCCAACCATTTGTCAGAATTTAAAAAAACAAAAAAAAAAAAAATAATAATAATTTTTTTTTTATTCTTTATAAACCGGAAACGGAACATTTCCTTTTTATAATCCCTTACAAAACCGTATATATATAAACAAAACAAAAAACCAAAAAAAATATTTTATTCTGCTTTAAGATTTATTAAAAATTACACGAAATTATTTATTTATTTATTTTTTTTTCGGGGAGACAAAAATAAGGGAAAAAAAGGGAGGAAGGAAGGAAGGGGATGGGGGGAGGATAAACCTTTTGAGATTTTTTTTTATTTTCCCTAAGGTGAGAAAGAAAAAAAAAAAAAACGCAAAATAATACAGTTGGAAAAAGTTTTTTACGTATTCAACATTCAGGGATTATTTTTCCTTTTCAATTTTTTTTTTTTTTTTTTCATTGGGTTTGTTTTACTTTTGGCTTTTTTTTTTACGTTGGCTCCCTTGGGTAAAAACCCAAACAAAAAAAAAAAAAAAAAGAAAAAGAAAGCAAAAGAAAAAAAAAATTATGACCAAATAACAATAAGTAAAAAAGAAAATATTGAAAAACCTGTAATGGCAAAAGAGAAAAAGCGGAAAAGGAAAAAAAAAAAGAAAAAAGTTTACCGGAAGTGAAGGTGGAAAAGAAAAAAAAGGGGAAAAAAATCCTTTTCACGACGACATTTTTTTTATTTTTATAAAAGAAACGAATTTTCCTCTCTCTTTTTCTCTCCCCACTCTCTCCCTCTCTGTCTCTCTTTATCTCTTTTTCTCTCTTCGTAATTATTAATTTATATTTAAAAAAAATTAAAACCTCGTTAAAAATAATTTTCAACAGTTTTACCAATCATTAATTCATTCAGTCATTCATTCAATCAATCAACCAATCAATCAATCATTCTTTATTATCTAAATCAAGAAATGAATGCATCAGAATTTATAATTTTTAAAAAAAAAAAAGCTTTAAAAAAAAAATGATTTAAAGGAGAATAATTTAGTGTTGAGAGTAGATAGATAGACAGAGAGAGAGAGAGATTAAAGGTAAAATAAAAAAAAAGAGAGAGGGAAACCGATGAAAAAAAATGATTATGTTATATAGAAAAAAAAAATTGATCAAAAAACGTTCGTTCAAAAAAAAAAAAAACGATGAAAAGCTGTAGGTAGAAGAAGAAGAATATATAGAGAGAAAGAAAAAGAGAGAGAGAGAGAGAAAAAAAAAGAGTAAAAGGTTATTTGTAAAGTTAAAGGAAACACGACAGGAAAACAAAAGGTTTTAAATTTCAAAAGGAAAAAAAAAATATGAATTTTTTTTTCCTAAAAAAAAAATCACGTTCGTCTTAATTTATTTTCTTCATCGAAGAAATTTTTTTTTTTTTTACATTGAAAAATCCAAAACACACAAAATGAATACGTTAAATGAAAATTTTTTTTCCCTCTCTCTCTCTCTCTTTTACATCGAACGCATTCAAAAATTTAAAAAATTTTTTTTTCTCCCTTTCTCTTTCTCTTTCTTTCTCTCGCAGCATCTCTTCCTTTCATTTCTTTTTCTTTTTCCTTTCCGAAAAAGATTTTTTTTTTTTTATTTTGAATTTAAGATTTTTTTTTTTCGCCGGGAGGCACATTTGTTTTGAGATTCATCTCACGGTTTCCTATTTCTGCTACTGCTGCTGCTGCTGCTGCTGTTGCTTCTTCTGCTTTTACTTTTATACAGCTACGCAATGAATTTTCAAAACAATTGTAAAAAAAAATTTTTTTTTTTTTGTTCGACAAAAAAAATAAAAAAAATTATTATTCAACCGAATTATTTCGTTTTTTTTTTTAAATTTCATACACCCCTCCCCTCCCCCTTCCCCACTCCTTTTCTCTCGCTTCACGATCTTTCCTTCTTTTTTTTTCCGAAAACCTTTTGCTCAAGGATTAAAGTTAAATTAAATAAGGTTTTCACCTTTCGAAAAAAAAAATAAATCGAATATTTAATTTTTTTTATCCTTTTTTAGTTAAAGGCAATTTATTTTATTTTTACCTCTTCTTCTTTAATGCGCTTCCACTCCTTCCCTTCCCCCCACACATCACAAAATCCTTTCATTTTCTTCCTTTTTTTGTATAACAACCTTAACGTTTTACCAACGACTACCCCCTTTACCCACCTCCCCTTGCCAAAATAACATTCACGGTTCAATTTTTTTAAATAAACCTTAAACGTGAAAACCTTTTTCTTAACGAGTAAAAAAAAAAAAAAGGAAAAAAGGTTTCAGTGAAAAAGTAAAAAAGGGATGGGAGGGTAATGGAGGAGGGGGGTTTCGTGATCATTGGGGACCGATTCGGTTAAGTTCATAAAAAATTTATAATTTTAAATTTTTTTTTATACTCTGATGAAATCTCAATGGATTTTTGTCCTTTTTTATTATCATTTCCTTTTGTTCGCATCCCTCCTCCCACCCCTTAGCCTTCCCACCGTTAGTCCCTCCCTCTACCCAACCTCTTAAAAAATTTTTTTTTTCCACACTCGCGCGTATATTTTCGGAAAATTCTAGAAAAAATATCGGTGGAAATTTTTTTTTAAATATGTATTTTCCATTAGCGTTTTCTTCTCATTTACATAATTTTTTTGTCGTTTTTTTTCCTTTGTCTTCCGCCATTACTCTTTTCACTTTCTCTCTCTCTCTCACTTTCCTTTGACTTCTTTTTTTTTACGCGAAGGCAAAAAAAACCTTCTTAAATCCCGTAACGATAATTTTTTCCTTTTTAATTTTAATTGCTGTCATTTTAAAATTTTAATCAGGTACAAAGTAATAATTATTAACATTTAAAAAAAAAAAAAAATTTTTTTTCTCTTCTCTTGTCTTCTTTCTTAAGGAAAATTTTAATATTCAAATTTTTTTTTTTTTTTTTTTGCCTCGTCGGGACGTCACGTTTTTTTCCGTTTTGAATTCCGCGTTTGATGAATTTTGTCTCGAATTCGAATGATTTTTCGTTCCTTTATAAATTTAAATTTTTTTTTATTATCCCGAGCAATGTTAAATTAAATTTTTTTTTACCCTTAACCCGGTCCTGATTTTTAAAATATTATTTCTTATCAACCGGAGATTTTATTAGTAATACGATATTTTCGGTGGTTCTTGTAAACAAAAAAAATTTTTTTTTTTTTTCGGTTTTTTTTTTTTTTTCGGTTTTTTTTTTTTTTTTTTTTACAAAATTGTTTTGTTGACGTGACGTTTCCAGTTATCATCTTTCCAAGAGTTTCCATATCCTTTTTTTTTCTTTCTTTTTAAATTTTATAAAAACTTTTTTTTTTTCCTCCCTTCTAAAACTTTCATCTGCACCCTCCTCCTCTTCTTCCTTCCCCAAAGGATCCTCCTTTAAAATTTTTTTCCTGCCGAACATTAGCCTACAAGCAACGTTATACGTTTCCCAAATTTTCAAGAATCAATTTAAAAAACCGTTATTATTATTATTATTAAATGATTTTCCAGATATCATTTTTGAATCGTTCCAGTAATAAATAAAAAAATCATCGACATTTTAATTAATAAATTAAAAATAGAAATGAAAAAAAAAAAAAAATGTAAACCATTAAAATGATAACCGCGTAAGTCAACCATTTAAATTTTTTTTTTTTTATTATTAATTATTTAATTGCGTCTGGTTGTGTTTGTTACAAAAGCTGTTTGTTGTTAAAAAAAAAAAAATACATAAATAACAAACCAACATAAGGGAAACACGAAAAAAAAACGACGGAAAAATAAAAAATAAAAAAAGAAAAAGAAAAACAAGGAAGTTTTATTATTTTTATATACAATTATTATTATTATTATTATTATTAATTAACAACAACGCGTTTTTTTTTATCTTAATTATTGTCGAAAAGTCATTAAAGTCAATTAGTGTCAATGATGTGTCGGTTGTTGTTGTTTTTGTTGTGCAACGTGTGGAATTTATATTGTTTTCACTTTAATACGTTTTCCCCACCTAAATAAATTTTTTTTTTGTTTGTTTCTTCTCCTTCTCCTGTCGATGCCGTTGCTACAATTAATATTTTAACTTTTTTTTTTAAAAAAAATTTTTATTAATGATAATAATAATAATAGTTTTTTTTTTTTTTTTTTGATAAATAACGTGGCAAAAAATTCGCACGTCAATCAAAAGTAACAAAAAAAAAAAAAATTAAAGTGATTGATGTCGCCCGTCAATAACAAAACAAAAAAACATTTTTTAAAAAATTTTGTTTCGTTTCCTGCGCGCTAAATATAATTAACAACAGCAAATTTTTTTTAACTCAAAATTTTGCTATCGTTTACAATTAAGTAAGATATTACACGTTCCGGTTTAATGTGCCTTAATTATGACGCACAACTAAGTTCATCAAGCTTTTCGTTTGTCTTTATTAAAAAAAAAAAAAAAGGTTTTTTTCGAAAAATAAATAAAAAGAGAGAGAGAGAGAGTATAAGTAAGAAGAGAGTGAGAGAGAGAGACAGAGGGGACAAGTTAAACATATAATGAGACAGAGAGAGAGAGAGAAAATGTATAAATAATTAAAATAAGGAAAAAGGAAAAGATGAGCAGTGGATGCTAAATAATTAGGTAGAAGAGGAGAGAGAGAGAGAGAGAGAGAGAGAGGAAGACAAGCAATGATAATTGTCAATTGAAAATTTTAATACAAATTGAAACGTTTCAAAGTTTTTTACAAAAAAAAAAAAATTTTCGTATTTTAAGATTTAAACGGATTCACATCAAGTTAAGATATTCAAGTTGAAAACTTTTATTAATGAAATCAAAGGATTTAAATGACCTTTAAAAAGGAAAAAAAAAAAGGAAAAAAGGAAGAAATTCAAAGGATGTGAAAAAAACTTAATCCATTAAAATTAAAACTTTTTCCCTTTTTTTTTTGTACCTTTGTAAATTCAAAAGAACAAAATTGATTACTTAAAAAAAAAAAAAAATTTGACCGCCATCATTAAACGCCGACGCCGCCATAATTATTATTATTATTATTTATATTTTAACTTTTAATTATTGAGTTTAATTACATTTTAAAAAAAAAATCACTCAAAAATTGTTTAAACAAATAAGTAAGTAAATAATTGTTTAATAAAAAAATTTAAAAAAATTTTAGAAAAATTAAAATGTGCTGATGGGTATTTATTTAAATTTTTTTGAAAAACGGTAAAATATGTAAATAAATTAAGGGATGAATTTAAGGGTTGAAACGGGATAGAATGGGGAAGAAGTGGGATAAAAACAAGGGGTAAAATAAGGATAGAAAAAATTATTACAATCATAATTTTCAACTGGTAAAATTTTTTTTTTTCATTTCGGTCCGCGTTAATTTTCGTTATCGTTACAACCAAAACAATTTCCGTTTGTTTCGTTCGGTTGTTGTTGTTGTTGTTATTTTTCCTTTTTCGTCTGCTTTGTGATTGATTAAAACGAGTTTTTATAAAAAATAATAAAATAATAAAAAAACTTACTTTCTTCGGGTACGCCTTGAGGCTGAGGACATTGAACGCTTTCGTATTCCGTCCTCCCAAAACTGGCCGAATAAATGGCTATTCTGGAATGGGGATTACATTTTAGTTGAACGACTTCATTTTCACAAGCTACTTTACTTCTAAATTCATCTGAAAATAATAATAATGATAAGATAATAATAAATACGTTTTAATAAAACCATTTAAATTCGGTAATGCGTAACGCATTCTTCTTCCACGGCGTTCGTATGCTACTCATTTTATCCGATTAACATCGTCATTTCCTTTCGATTGTGTTTTAAACTTTTCTTTTTTAAAAAAAAAAAAAAAATATTTACTACTAATTAACGTGTCAGAAGATAAATTAATTTTCTAATAAACGTAAATCGAAATACGTTTTTTTAATCCTCACGAAAATTTAATTCATCGTCGAAATTAAATGAAGAAAACTCTTTTCCCGAACGTGATTCGAAAAAAAAAAAAACAATTATTAGTATTATCATCATCATCACTATTTACGCGGCACGTGATTTCCCTTTCTTTTTTTTTCGGGGGGCGGGGAGAGGGCGGGGGATTTTACATTATATAAAAAAAAATAATAAAAGACTTACATGGACGGCATTTATATCCGACGTCGATATATTTTCCGATTTTCGGACAAGGATCAGCTCCAAGATTTTTCATAGAAGATTGAAACTTGCATTGTCTTTTCTTCTGACACGCCTCGACGACAGTCTGCAAAAGTGAATACTAATATTCATTAGTGACGCATCTGTTCTCGTTTTTCGTTATAAAAAATAAAAAAATTTTTTTTTTTTTCAAGCTCCGAATTTTTATTTTTTTTCGGCACGCAAAACATTTTTTTTTTTTTTTTCAAAAATTTATTTCAAACTTTTATTTTTTTATATTTTTTTTTTCATTTCCACGAGAGAAAGAGAGTGAGAGAGAGAGAAAGTGAGTGAGAGAAAGAGAGAGAGTGAGAGAAAAAAATAGGGAGGGAGGGGTAAAAATAATAAAAATGGAAAGAAAGAAAGAGGAAAAAAAACAGACAGAGTGAGGAAGTGAGTTGAAGAGATATGTGCATATGCTACTGCTAATAATAAAAATAATACTAATAATGATGATGATGATGATGATGATGATGACGATAAAATGAATTTAATAATAATAATAATAATAATTGATTTTTTAATATTTATAAATTTAAAAAAAGAATATTTTTTTAAAAGAAGAATAAGAAGAAGGGTACTTAATAATATGGAAATGACAGGCATTTTTATATATTTAACGTTATAAAAATCATCATCATCATTATTATTATTATTAATATTATTATCATCGCGGAAAAACTCCTCCCGGAAATGAGATATTTAGTGATATTAATTGAATAAAGACAAAAAAAAATATGATGATGATGATGATGATGACGATAAAATGAATTTAATAATAATAATAATAATAATTGATTTTTTAATATTTATAAATTTAAAAAAAGAATATTTTTTTAAAAGAAGAATAAGAAGAAGGGTACTTAATAATATGGAAATGACAGGCATTTTTATATATTTAACGTTATAAAAATCATCATCATCATTATTATTATTATTAATATTATTATCATCGCGGAAAAACTCCTCCCGGAAATGAGATATTTAGTGATATTAATTGAATAAAGACAAAAAAAAATATGATGATGATGATGATGATGACGATAAAATGAATTTAATAATAATAATAATAATAATTGATTTTTTAATATTTATAAATTTAAAAAAAGAATATTTTTTTAAAAGAAGAATAAGAAGAAGGGTACTTAATAATATGGAAATGACAGGCATTTTTATATATTTAACGTTATAAAAATCATCATCATCATTATTATTATTATTAATATTATTATCATCGCGGAAAAACTCCTCCCGGAAATGAGATATTTAGTGATATTAATTGAATAAAGACAAAAAAAAATATGATGATGATGATGAAACGACGACGAGTTTATTTACAAAAAAAAATTTCTCTCTCAAATTTCTTCTTCCCTTCCCACTCCTTCCCACACCCCACACCTACCACCACCCTCTTTCTCTATCTCTCTCTCACTCATTATTCTTATGGAAAATTTTCATTTTTATTATAAGTGAAAATCTTTTCGGTGATTTAAAAAAAAAAAAAACAAAAAAACGAGAATAAACCTTTTTTTTCCTTTTCCCTTTTTTCCTTTTTCTTTTTCCTCCTTCTTTCTCACTCTCCCCTCCTCGGCTTTACCCCCTCTTCCTCTATTTTTTAAATCATTTTTTATCACTTTCCTCGTTTCTCACAATTAAAATTTTCTTCCATTTTTTTTATTAAAATGATGATATTATTTATTTGAACAAAAATCGTAAAACGATGTAAAATTTATTATTATTATTATATAATAGTGAAAATATTTTGAATTTTCCTTAAACTTTTAAAATTTTAAAATAGAAAAAGAATGATAAAAACTCTCCGGGAGTTTTCCCCAATGGTCGTATTTGGACTCATAATTATTATTCAATTTTTGTTCGCAATTAATTATTATTCCTTTTTCATTCAAATTTAAAAAAAAAATCTTTTTGTTTCCATCTTCATTTTTTTTCTTTTTTTTATAGAAAACGATTTGATAATATTTCTATCATCATTATCATCATCATCATCATCATCATCATTATTATAATCAGCATCATAATCATAATCATTTTCATAAGATTCCTTGCATTTAAATTCTTTTTTTGTTCTCCATACTTATGCATTTTTTTTTCAACGTGAAAAAATTTTTTACTGGAGAAAGAAAACACTAATAATACTAATAATAATAATAATAATAATTGTAGACATTTTTTTTTTAAATTCTTGTTAAAACCTATTAGACTAATAAAGACTTTTACAAAAGAAAAAAAATTTAAAGAGTTATTATTGTTATACATTTGGGGTTAGTTTAAACAAAAACAACTTTTTCAAACACAATCCATTAAAATTGAATGACGAGACTTATTTAAAAATCCCTGTCGACGTCATCATCGTCGTCGTCGTCGTAGTACTAGTTATCGTTGTCTAATTCCACTTTTAAAACTTTTTTTTAAAATCTTATTCGTTTTATTTTTTTAAACCAAGGTTTTAACGATTACACACCCACGATATGTTCATCTATAAAAATTAATATTTAATATAAAAAAAGAAAATTTTTTGTTATTGTTGTTTTGATAAGAAAGGATAAATGATAAGAGACACGTGTATGCGAATTCGCACGTACACGTGCAAAATACTTGTGATCACGTGAGCAAATGTTTATAATTTTATATTATTTGTAAATAATAACATTGGAACTATGGTTACCAAGTGTTTATTATAGAAAAGAAGCTTCTAGAAACTTATTCTTCTGTTTGTTTACAAACATAGTTATTCATTTCATAGTAACATAATAATAACAATGAGTTCCACATATAAAAGGAAGCAAGATACAACGGGAGAAGTTCTTCTGATTCCCTAATGTCCTGTGAACGTAACATCTTATTAATGATTGTGTTAGTGAAGTGAAGGTTAAAGGTTAAATTACGTTATCCATGATATGAGTGATAATCCTTTTTGTAATAATGCTTGCTAAAGACAATATAGAAAAATGTTCATAACAATACTTAACAGAAACAAATAATAATAAAAATAAAATTGTAAAAAATTATTATATGCGAATTTATTAATTTATACGTGTAGGGATGATGATGACGTCAAATCATTATAATATTTATTTATCATCATCATCATCATCACCATCATCATCATCATTATTATTTTACGAATGTTTTTTTTTTTTTTTTTCTTATTAGAA